AAGCTTCTCCCGAATAGTAATGTCGGACACACAGGGCGTGCTATTTCTGGCTCAGAAGCTGCTACCGGGTTGCACGGAGTAACCTGGTTTGTAAGCTACCTTAAGAGGATCTCAAAGCTTTAAAGCAGGATGCAAATATTTGCAAAGAAATAAATCTTGCTTACCCACCGGTTGCTGGTTCGGTGTGGGCTGCCCTTGAGTGTGCTGTAAGTGGGTCATAGGGTAGCTGTTCATAAAATGGGGCAAAGCTCACTGAACACATTTCTCACTTAGCAACAAATTTTGGGCTCAGTTTGCGGTCGTAAGTCGAGGACCACCTGTATTAGCAGTTGTTGTTGTTGTTTCTGGTGGCTGCTGTCGCTGTTTTAATCCAAAGAAGCGATTTAATGCGGCCGTTTCCTTTGTGGATGCTTTTTGGGAACCAGGAAGAGCCTTTTGAAAACACAGGATTGGAAAATGTCTCTGTTTCCTCTCTTTGTAAGTGCTTTTGTGGGGGAGGGCAGGGAACTAATTTAGAGAATAGGAAGGAGGAAATGGATTCATAATAGATCAGCGTATTTGCTCTAGAAAATGCTCTTGCAGGCGTAATTAACTGTAACATTTGAAATGTGGTAATTATGCATTAAAACCACAAAAGAAAGGAAAATAGGTGCTTAACTATTTGTTTCTATTAGTTAAATCCCCCCATTTGTCTTTTTTTTTTACCCCATTGTTATTGCTACAACATTGGGCCTCCCAAACTAGATTAATTCAAACAGTGATTTATTTTATTATGTATATGCGAAAAAGCTAATTCTTCCCTCCATGCGCATCCTTCCTAATGCAGGTTTTTCAAAAGTGAGTTTTTCTGCATTTCCCTTTTACTGCCTGTTAAATTTTTAGCAAACGCCGTTTTTGATCATTCCCAATCTCGGTGTGGCCCCCTCCGTTCCCCGCATCTTTCACAAACCACTGAGCCCAAGACTTTGAGTAATGCTCAACTCTGCCTGGGGTGCCTTCCGACTCATAGCCCCATGCAAACGATAAATCAGCAAACAAACTGCAGTGTGACAGGTGTATAATTGCGCAGAGCCGGTATGGTTTTTACCTGTTTGTTTGTTATTTCAAGATAGATTTGCAGTTAAGACATCACAAGGATGAACATTAGTCCTGGGTCTTTGAAAATAGGCAAATATTGTCCGGTACTATCAACAAAATCATTACGGTTATTTATCTGTGGGTGTCTTCTGCTCAATAAGTCACGGACATACAGATACTCCTCAACTTCCAACCATTTGTTTGGTGACCGTTCAAAGTGACAATGGCACTCTAAAAAAAATGACCAGTTTTCACACTGGAGACCATTGTAGCATCCTTGTGGTCACGTGGTCAAAATTCGGCCGCTTGGCAACCAGAATGTATTTATGATAGTTGCACTGTCCCAGGGTTATAGGATCACCATTTTTAACCTTCCCAGCCGGCTTCCAGCAAGGAAAGTCAATTTGCTTAATGACCACACGATTCATTGAACAACTGAATAGCAGAACAACAGGATAATAGAGTTGGAAGGGACCTTGGAGGTCTTCTAGTCCAACCCCCTGCCCAGGCAGGAAATCCTGCACCAGTTCAGACAACCCGTCGCTAACTCTCTTCCTGAAAATGTCCACTGATGGGGCACCCACAACTTCTGAAGGCAAGTCGTTCGAACTGCAGTAATTTGCTTAAGAACGGGGGCAAAACAGGTCGCAAAATGGGGCAAAGCTCACTCAAAACACCCACCTCGCTTAGCAACAGAAACTTTGGGCTCAACTGTGGTCGCGAGCCGAGGACCACCTCCATTCCTGTTTTATAAAGAGTAAGTGAAAAGAACGCAGGCTGGTGCGGATGTAGCCTGCAATTGTGGTTCGTGGTTCGATTAAGTTCTATACCAGCCGAGTTAACCTCGATTCCCATGTTAAAGACGAAGGATTCGGTGTCGTTTCCTACCCCGAAAATTCTGAGCATCCTCTGTTTAATCTGGAGCAACAGATTTTGTGCTTGGAAAGCGGCCTCGGTGAGCAGTATTTGCGGCTTCCAGCTTAGCTGAGGTTATCCTGGGTCTATTTATAGATCCTCTCCTCTGGTGTCCCACGCTCCGCCGAGCTTTTCCGAACAGCATTAAAGTTGTTTCTCTCCCCCCCCCCCATCTTCTTCACATCCTTTGCAAGCTCCAATCTGGATCCCGATTTCCTCTTGGCGGGAGGAGCCGTGTCTCTGCGGTGCTTCTGGCAACGAGTTCGGCAGAATTTAGCCACGCTACAGGATAGCCAGTTGTTCGTTTCCTGACTGTCTTTTCCTTTCGCCAGACAGGGTGGCTGGCTTTGTCAAAGGAACTGAAAAAGTTCCTCAGCATCCTTTTCTTGGGAACGGTGTTTGTAGGGCGATGCACCGCAATGCCCAGGGAGATTTATCAGGAGGTGTTTTATTTACTATTTAGATAACTTATATAGCCGCCTACTCCCGCACAGCGACTCCAGGCAGCTTACAAACAGTAAAAACACAAAATGGCAAAAATAAAAATAAACAACGATAGCCCTCTCTCCGGCGACAGCACACGATTAAATAAGCCGTTTAAGGCCCGCTAGCAAAACAAGGTCTTCAGGGCCTGACGGAAGACTGTCAACGTGGAGGCCCGTCTAATTTCTGCAAGGAGGATGTTCCAAAGGGAGGGAGCCACCACGGAGAAGGCCCTTCGTCTTAGAGGACGGGACCCACAACATTCCTTGCCTCCCTGCTCCAGTGGGTTGGGTGGATGTGACCGGCAAGAGACGGTCCCTCAGATAATCTGGTCCCTGGTTCTGTCACCGACGAGGAAGATTGGCAGCGTTCGTTTTTGTATTCTTTGCCGTAAAGTCGAATCCGGTGGTTGACTAGGTCCGTGTTTGTCAAAGGAAGCCTCCTCTGGGCAAGAATGGAGTAGTTGGAAAGCAGAGCAGCATAGCAAAACGTTTGGCAACGTTTTGGAGACCTTGGAGAAGAGGCTGGGTCTTGTCTTCCATATCAAGTAGCGAAAAAAACCCGTTGGGCTGGCAAGACGTTAAATTAATGCCTCTTCAGCCTTTTTCCTGCAGAGCAATTTGCACGACAGGGAGAGAAGAGGCAGCCTGGCTGAGGTGAAAGTTCAAAAATATTTTTGGAGTTTGATTTAAGAGTCCGTTTTTTTTTAATAACGGTCGTTCGTGCCATCATTAAATCTGTGTCTTTTTTTTTTTTTTTCAAGTTTCGTGCCTTGGGTGCGCATCAGCTCCACGAAGTGGTGTGAACCGTCGCAGCCCAAGGCTGAGAATATTTGCTAATTTTGTTGGATGTGCTTTGGCATGCTGCTTTGGGCTAAAAATGAGAATTGGACCACTTGTGTTTTAGAGTTGGAAACTCCAAAGGTTGCCGTAGCGTAGTGTGTTGAGTGAAGCAGGCCAGGCCAGTAGCCTGCTTTATTTGTTTGATTGAAGGATTTGATAGGGACTTAAGTTTTATGAAAATACAGGTAGTCCTCAACGTACAGCCACAACTGAGCCCGAAATTTATGTTGTTCAGTGAGAAATCTGTTAAGTGAGTTTTGCCCCCTTTTACGACTTTTCTCGCCACATTTGTGAAGTGAATCGCTGCGGTTGTTAAATTACTCACAACGGTTGTTAAGTGAATCTGGCTTCCCCATTGAGTTGGCTTGTCAGATGGTCGCAAAAGGGGATCGCGTGACGCCGGGACTCTGCAAGCGTCCTAAATACGAACCATCTGAATGTAAATCACATGACCATGGGGATGCTGCAACGGTCATAAGTGTGAAAAATAGCCATAAGTCATTTCTTTTCAGAGCCGTTGTGACTTCAAATGGTCACTAAATGAACTGTTGTAAGTCAAGGACCACCTGTACAGATTCCCAAAGGATTCTGCGAGGGTTCCATCCAATGTGCTCTACTTAACCTGTTCGTCCTAATAGTATGAATTTTAAGGGATCCATCCCTCACTCTCTGCCATTAACCATCTTCTGATTCAAGCTTCTCCCTTTCCCAAGAAATGACAGAGCTCCTTAAAACTTAAGTGAAACCCCATGACCCCCCACCCCACCCCTTCTCACGTGTCGACTTTCATGATGAGGTGGGTTTTCATCCCCTCCCCCCTCCCAGTTCTCACATTTGAGTCTGAATTGCTGTGCATGAAGCCAACATGGGTTTTGATCAGGGGTCTTCAAACTCAGGCCCTTTTATGGCTCATGGACTTCAGCTCCCAGAATTCCTCAGCCAGCCTGGCTCAGCTTGGAAACCTCTCCCTTTCCCCTCAGCATGGCTGGCTCAGGAATTCTGGGAGTTGAAGTCCACGAGTCATGAAGGGGCCATAGTTCCCCCATGCTGGCTCAGGAATTCTGGGAGTTGAAGTCCACAAGTCATAAAGCGGCCTAGGCCTAGGTCAGAGATAGGTCAGAGATTTATGACTCGTGGACTTCAACTCCCAGAATTCTTGAGCCAGTATGGGGGAACTATGGCCCCTTCATGACTCGTGGACTTCAACTCCCAGAATTCCTGAGCCATCATTGGCTCAGCTTGGAAACCTCTCCCTTTCCCCTCAGCATGCCTGGCTGAGGAATTCTGGGAGTTGAAGTCCACGAGTTATCAAAGGGCCCGAGTTTGAAGACCCCCTGGTTTTGATGATCGTGGAGGCCATCTCTGTGTTTTTTTTAAATTTTTATTTTGACAGACTTTTAGAAAATGTCACTTCATGGGTTTGAAAGAAAATCATACCTCTCTTTCTCTTTCTCTGTTTCTCTTCTCTCCCTCTCCTCTCCTCTTGTTTTTTTTTTTCTTTCTTCCCCTGTGTGTGTCTTTTCTGTTTTCCGATCAGCACCAGCTTCCTTTCCTCCAGTGGTGGGAGAACTTTTTGCTCCACTCCATGCTACAGAGTCTTCATCCTTTCAGCCCGACAGCTCATGCTACTCCTTGGGACCTAACCTAGAGTAAATCTTGGCCCGGCCAGGGTTGGGGGGAGCCATGGGCAGCTCAGCCTCTTCACTGGCCGCCGAGACGGAGTCGGACCACGGCTTTGCTGGCCAAACCTATCCTGGGCACCTGGCAGCAAGCTGGTATAGGAGTAACCATGCTGGGCCCGTTTGGGACAATGCCCTTATAACACGGCAACATCTGCACGTAAACCACCGGGCACGAAGGTAAGAAAGATGGGGAAAGAGCTTGGTCTTGTCTCAGCTCGGTTGAAAGCCCAGGGCTGGTGTGTGTGTGTGTGTGTGTGATTCCAACTGCAGCCCCATTAGAGGCCATGGAAAAACGGCCAGCCCAGCTGCACAACCCAGCTAGATGCATCTTGAAACGTGTTATGTGTTCGTGTGCATGATAGTTAACACTGGCTGCTTGTGGCATGAGACGTTGGCTTGGGTTGCCATTGATCGAGGTGCCGGTTTTGTAGACGTCAGTACAGGTGGTCCTTGACATGCAGTCGTTCGTGTAGCTACAGGAAGCCCTCGACTTAACAACAGTTTGTTTAGTGACCGTTCGAAGTTTGACGGCGCTGCAAAAACGTCACTTAGGACCGTTTTTCACACTTACGGCCGCTGCAGCATTCCCCACTGTCCCGCGATCGAAATTCGGATGCTGGGCAGCTGGTTCCCCAAAGTCAATGGGGATGCTGGATTCACTTAACCTGTTTCTAACTTAATAACTGCAGTGATTCACTTAACAACTGTGGCAAGAAAGGTCGTAAAATGGGGCAGAGCTTACTCAACGTCTCGCTTAGCAAAACATCCATTTTGGGCAAAAATTGTCATAAGTTGAGGACCACCTGTACTGTTCAAAGTTACAATGGGACTGAAAAAGGGACTTAGTTCACTTAACCTCCATGGGAAAATGGTCGCAAAATTGGACAAGACTTGTTTAATAACCACCTTGCTTCTGTTCCCAATTGTGGTGGTACGTTGAGGACCACCTGTATCCCATTTCCGGGTGCTTCTTCTGGATGGGCTCCGAGGCATATTCTAGGGTCGCAAATGTGTGAATTCAGTTCCTGAACATTTCTCTCTCTGCTTCTATGTTAGAGCGGCTTCCTATTTAGGACGGTAAACCTATTTTTTGTAAAAGCTGTTAACAGTGTCAGCAGGGAAGGGGTTCTTGGGACCCCCTAGAAGTTGTGAAGATGAGGCTTTCCTTGAACAACAACCTGCTTTGGGGTCATGTCTTTCAGATCTTAGGGCTCCTCACCAGGTCTAGAAGCGGTCTCCCTAGTCACCAATGCCCCAATGATCAGCAAACTTTGGATCATACCAGCTTGGTATAAATATCTATGGAGATTCTCCGTCCTCCAGATCGTGGTTGTCCCAAAGGTGCTTTTTCAAGAGGCAACTTGACTTTCTGGTTCTTCTTTGAAGACGTTTCACTTCTCATCCAAGAAGATTCTTCAGCTCTTCAGCGAAACATCTTCAAAGAAAAACCAAAAAGAGCTGACGAAGCTTCTTGGATGAGAAGCGAAACATCTTCAAAGAAAAAAGAAACCCCAGAAAGTCCAGTTGCCTCTTTAAAAAGGACTTTTGGGACAGCCCGGTATAAATTTTCTTTGGTTTAAGTCTGTGTCTTTCAACCACGACTCAAGTTTATAAAGCTTATTCAGACAGCAAGATAAACCTCGCTCACGGCTTAACTGTCACCAAATCCAGGAGTTACTTCTCCCAAGAGGCACCAGTGTCAGTCAAGCTATGGATGGGTAGTTCTGAGGTCACCCTCTTATCTACACGTGACATCCTGGTTTCTTCTAGCTGGAATAAGCAAGATAGGGAGTCATGGCTAGTTTAACCTCCTCTCTGGACTCATCCCAAGCAGAATAAAATCACAATGTTACATTCCAACTCTAAACAAACCACGAATGGGTAATATGTAGCTACCCTTTTCTCCAGGAGAAGAAGACTCTCCCTTTGGTGTCTTCACCAGTAAGCCATAAAGCAAGCTTGCTGGGACCCGTATGATCTCTTTATGCTGCTTTTACTAATTGAAGCAGTTTAATTACATTCATTGGTTTGATGAAAAATCTGCCCAGAAAAGGTTGCATCAGGTTTAAGCAGAGCCGTACACGTCTGAATAATTTCCCTGTTTATATTAAATTAATTGGCCAGATCACACCTCTTTGTTTTCAACCCAAGCCTCCCCCCCCATATCCATAATCTAAGGTTAAATATTGAGACAGAGAAAAAATTGAATGACTATTAAAGTGTTATCTTCAGCTCGGCTGATTCTATAGATACAGACCTATTTCATGCTGCTTGAAAGTGTATTTCTGCTCTTCGGCATTAATTCAATAAGAGGCTAAACTCTGAGCTTAGTTAAAGTCCTCCTTCGAGAAAGGTTATCAACATTGGTCTCTGTAAATCTTCTTATTGGTGGCCTTTTGCCTTTGCAGAATCAGCAGGACATTGTTTCTCACCTTCAGTTTATCTTGAGTTCCCATTTTTATTTATTTTATTTTATTTATTTTATTTAATTTATATGCCGCCCTTCTCCCGACAGGGACTCAGGGCGGCGCACAACATGTTTAAAACCAGAACATCTATACAATCCCCCCCTTAAAACCGAATTAAACCGAATTTTAATGTTGCGTCTTCCGAATATTTAAAACCCAATGTAAAATCCACCCTAGGTCAGGTCCGCTTGCTGGA